AAAAAAAGCTAGAGAGAGCAATTAGTCCTTCCTAATCTTTATTTATTTATTTATTTATTTTTTTCCCTCTCCTGACAGAGAGAATTGTCTCCCGTATCTTCTCCTTGCATGTCATGATCTGCATCACTTCCAACCACTAGTCCTCCACGGAAATTTCCAGCACCTTCTTTCTTCTGTATTTCTACAAGAAGGTTGGAAGGTTGCACCACAGCCAGCTCCTCTCACTCCTGAGTCCCCCAGAAGTAGAAAATAGTGGAAGGATGCAGCCAAAGAGACTCTGGAAGGCTGCATGCTCCATCTGCCTGCTCCAAGGCAGGACCACTGATGTGTTACTCGTCTGTCTTCCATTTGCACTGACCGCTCTGAGTCAGAGTACAGCATGGTGTTACCAAACGTCAGTATGGGTATGAAAGTGATGACATGAAAACCTTTTTAGAATTGACCTTGCGGTTAAATAAACTCAGGGTCACCAGATGGCCTGACAAGTTACCAATATGAGAAGAAGAACCTAAGATTATTAAGATGGAATGCGGAGAGGCCAAAGCAATACCAGGCATTGTGACTTTCACTCAAGTCAGAGAAGGCTACCTTAGTGATTTGGGTATTTTTGTTTAGCATCCAGTAAGCAAGGATTTTGACAAGGTCTTCCTCCTTTCTTGAATTGTCCCTATAAAGATCACACTCATTATGAGCTTGGGATGCAGGGCTGCCAAGCTCCTAAGGTGAGAATTTGAAATGGCAGTGACAACCGCAGCCTCAACAGCAATAACAGTATTTTTTCTCATCTTCTAGAGCTCTGCTGGGTGAGACACTTCTTATGGCAGCTGATGCTTAAATTTGGGATTGTGTTTGTGCCCTCTGCAATGTAACACCTCTGTGAAATAATCGGTATCATGAAATGTTTCATACTGATAATCGAAAATCAGTGAACATTTTTGCAAATGCTGGTTGTAGCTTTTTCAATCCTCTGTTCCACACAGGGAAATCAGAAAGTAATGGTGAATAAAAGCACCCCAGTATCACCATTGGCAGGGTGCAGGCTCTCAGCAAGGGTCAAGGCAAAGAGATAGGATGAGAAGAATAGATGAGAAAATGAATGATGGCTGGAGACATGAGGCATGTTTATATTGTGTTATATTGTGCAATGGCATGCTGCCTGGCAGCAGAGCTGATTTGGGAACAAGAGTCCAAGTCCAGGGGAAGTGTGGGCCTGGTAGTGGCATGGTACCGCTGGGAAGAGGGTGTGGAACAAAAGCTTGCAAGAATGTTGCTGGGACATTGTTAGGAATGTTTGTAAAATGCTTGGGTGCAGCAGTGATTAGCACTACAGAAAAACCCACAGGGAGATTATTACATCTGCATTCAGTGCCAGGTTTGGATGCTGTACAGTGAATAATGCTCGGAGCCATGTAACGGACAATAAGGAGTGCTGAACGAACACCCACGGAGAGCAACATCCAGCCTGCTTGCTGAGGGACAGGAGGTCCTGCCGAGGAAAGGTTTTGTGATTGTGTATATGAAGGCTACCCAAATGCCACAGCAGGACTTGCCCCTGTGCATACCAAATCCCTCTTGCGGTGTGCAGGCTCACATAGCAGCGTAGTGCTTGGTTCTGCTCATACAACCAGCCTCCTTCCAAAGTCTGAAGCTGAGAGTAGCACTCAGTCACTCCTGGCTTCTCCCTGATGCTCACCAGCAGTAGAATCATAGAAACACAGAATCATAGAATGGTCTGGGTAGAAAAGGACCATAGTGATCATCTCATTTCAACATCCCTGCTACCTGCAGGGTCACCAACCACTAGACCAGGCTGCCCAGAGCCACATCCAGCCTCGCCACATAGATGAGCCTGCCCAGAGCAGATTGCAGCCCTGCTGCACTGTAACAGAATCATTTGGCTCCCCACCTCCCCTTCCAGAAGTCCTCCTTTGCTTGAACTTTTTCAAAATGGCCATGCACACCCTCTTTGAGGCTGAACTTTGCAAACAACGGAGCGCAGCCAGCAGCCAGCCCATTTTCCTGAAGCAGAGAGGAGCCCACACGCGGGCAGGGGGAGAATTGTTCACATTTTTAACATTCTGGCTGAATTTGAGCCCTTTGTAACGGCACGGCGCCCGCGTCTCCTTTGCATCTTAAAGAGCGTTTCTGGTAGCAGCCAAAGGCCCCTCAGCGCCTGCCCGATGCCTCCTGCCAGCACCGCAGATAGCCCAGGCAGGACCCGACCCCACAGAGATGGCTAGCTCGCTTGACAGAGGGGAAGAATAAGAAAAAGGGGAAAAAAGCGGGGACATCCCAGCCCCCCGGGACTGCGCAGGGCACTATCGAGGCGGTGCGCGGCGCAGCGGGGCCGCACAGGCCCGTCCCGAGGCGGCCTCCTCCGGCGCTGGGCGCCGGTGCCTCTCCGGCCGCCGCACGAGGCTCTCCCTTTGTGCCGTTGCCTGGTAACCGCGCGGGGGATGGGAGGCCGCCGGCCCGCGCCGCATGCTGAGCGCGGCCGCCCCGCCCCGGGCCTGCCCGCCCCCCGCCGCGGGGAGTCCGCGGCCATTTCGTCTCCCGGCGCGGGGCCGAGCCGCGCTGGCGGCGGCGGGGAGGCGGGGACGGGCGCGCTGGCGAGCGCGGCTCGGGGGGTGACGGGGCGGGGGGGGGCTCGTTCTGGGCGCTT